TGCCACAGCATATTATACCATACTTTTTTTCATTTAAAAAAGGAAATTGAAAACACACCACTCCTAGAAATGCTTGACATTGAATTGGCTATTGAAACGGTATCAGTAAAGTATTTATATATTCCATATTTTGTTCCATACATCAGCTTTGCTTGATGCGTTAGACTTGGAAGGGTTCCATGTGAGTTGAAATGTTGCCATATATGAAAGACTGCCTTGTTTAAAAAGGGACTAAATCTTTTAGGGTACAGGAAGTAAAGTAAATCAGTTTGAATACATACACATCTCTCTTTGACCCTGCTCCTGCATGTTCTACTTTGTCTCTTCCTTGTTTGTCTTCAGAAGCTGGCTGTGCATACAGCAAGTATCAGTGTTCACCTAAAAGCTAAATATAGTGATAAATATAACTCCTGCCATAAAAACTGAATGAATGACAAGAACAGTGTAGTTTCATGAACCAAGAAATCCACTGAAAAAATATCATAATTGAAAGTTGGTTTTACAATGTTCTTTAATTTAAAACGAAGCAAAATACTTCTGTGGTAAAATCACAGTTCTTCACTCTGCGCTGTAAGGGAGATTCAAGAATTTATATTTCAAAATGTTTGGTGGGTTTTTTTTTTCTTTAAATAAAAAAAAACATAATCCAAAGCAAATGCAGTAGATCTCTGCATACTTGAAACATATTTTCTGAATTTATTTTAAGTCTCTCACTGCACCAGTGGGTTGTGTGTATGGATTAGGACTAGACCATTATTTCACCATCTATCTCCATCCTGAATTGATTGCAGCGAACACTGCAGAATGAATTGCAGATGTCTCCTTTTTCATCTGGTTTGGAGGACCTCTGTTTTCAGCCCCATTTGATCCGAACTGGGCTAAGGAGTGCAAGTCTGTCACTGTTTAGAAGGGTTCAGCGGAAGAAATCTTTGCACCTCAAAGAAGTTACTCTCTTTGTATACACAGCCTGCGCTCTGAAATGTGTGTGCTGTGGGGTACTGCTTGGATGAAACTTTCTGGTGTGTCCCTGCTTGTTCAGGATTATTGTTTGAAATGTCAGAGTCCAACAGGAAAAAAAGAGAACTCTGTGTAAATGGGGAGCTTGGTTTGGCAGGAAAGCATAAAAATGTTGGTGAATTCAAGACACTAAGCAATTTTAAGACATACTTTTCCTTAAAGTTCTTCCAAATTTCAGGCAAAGTGCAGTGTATATGCTTCTGTATTATAAAACTGGAGCAAATGTACATGAAGTGTTGCACAGGCAGGTTTTCACATGTAAAGATGTTTTCCCCTTGAGGGATTCTTTCTTTGTCTCCCAAACCCTCACTGAATATACAGATAGTAGGATAGCCACTGGGAGTTTGTATGAAAAATGTCTGTACTTAAAAACCATCATAGAATAATATGGTTATGGGGAAACTTGGCTTGTGAATACAATTTAAATAGTGTTTTGCCTTTAGCTGTCATATCATCAAACTGGGTTTGTTATATTTTGGGGGGTTTTGTTTGTTTGTTTGTTTTAAAAATAAATAATGATTTGTAGAAGCTGGAGCTCTAGGCTAAGTATCAGACACTACAAGTTTTAGGAGTTCAGATCACAAGAACTAGTAACGCTTTTACCAGCATTGGCAGTGCTTTGTACTATCATCACCACTCTATCCCCTGAGAGACCTATGTCTTACAAACATTGCTGCTGAGGTTCTCTGGGATTGTGGGTGGTGGGACGGCTGTGGGTGCAGAGCTACTGTGGGCAGATATTTCCAGCTCCATAGCTCCCATGGAGGTTTTGGAGCCAGCTGTAGAGGCAGGAAACAGGTCAATAGCATCTGTAAGAGCACAATGGCTCCTGCAGGACTTTTGCTATTAAGGAAGGTGGAAAAGTGGGATGTAAAGGCTGTTCTGGGTGGTGTGTTGGTGTCGCTGTCTTCCAAGAACCTGGAAGAACTTTACATTTTGCACTGTACTACTTCAAAAGCCCTCTCCCCACCCACCCAAGGAGAGTCTGTGCTCTGACAAGATAATCTTGTACCCTGGTTAGAAGTGTTTTGAGGTGTGCTTGAGAGGAGCCTTATATCTCATTACAGAAGGCAGACCTGGGGAACTTACAACCAGAGATAAATCTGTCCGCCTCACGCTCCTATAGTAGCAGAGTGGGGTTTGGGGCTTTGCAGGGTGGGGAGAGAGGTTAAACAGAGGTAAGTGGCTGTAGAGTTTGGGGTTTTATTTTTACCACTCAGGAGTTCAAAGAAATGTGTAATTGAGAAAGTCAAACCTAATGTCATTAGATTTGTATGAGAAGTACAGGATAATTTCAGCAGTCTGCAAATGGAGCGGCAGACACTGTTTGAGGAGTAGAAACCAGTTGGATCACAGTAGAATGGCAGTCTGAAATTGGAGGGCAAAACCAACACACTAATTCCCCCTACGGTGTTCAATTTAAGTAACAAAACATTGCCAGCTTTTGGGGAATGGCTCCCCCCTCCAATCCGAACTTTGAAATGTAGCAAAGGGAGAGGAGCAGGAACCTTGTGGTTGGTTACATACTTGGGGATCGGTTTTAGTTATCAACAGCTGAACTGGAGGATACAGGCTGTGCCTGCTCACTGCGAGCAGCAGACTGTTAGAGGAGCTTGATTTCTCTCACTCCTTCTTCCACCCACCTCCATCTCCTCTGTGCCTGTGTCTGCGCTCCCACATGCTTCAAATCTGTGTACCTGGACTGCCTTCCTTAACAGTTCAATGTGAGTGTTAGCAGAATGAAAACCAGATGGACCAGCAGTTCCCACTGTTATCTCCCCAACAGCTCTGGCAAGCCTCCCTTTCTCTCTCCTTTCTTGGCATGGCAGAAATATTTGCCTTTATTTAGGAGGGCTTGGGCTCACTGCTGTGCCTCTTTCCCTCTGTTGCAACATGAGCTGAAAGCTATTTATTCCCTTGTTGCTGAGGTTGGTTGAGGTGAGTGGAAGATGAATTCGGCTATTAAGGAAGCAATTAACATTTCAAGATGAGTTTTCACAGTTCTTTATATTAAATGAATGACTTATTAAAGATATAGATTTAACTCTTTTAATGTAATGATATAGAACGGATATTTGTATAGAATATGTTTAAAAACTTGATTTTGTTTTCCAGCATGTAATAACTTACTGTTGCTTGATTTGCAGATCAAATCTCACCCGTGTAGCAGCCTTAATATTTAAGCTAATCATTTTGGATACTGTTCCCTACACAGCTGAGGTTTACTAACCTTAGATCCACACTAAAGATCCTGTAATACTTTATCTGTGTTCCCCTCATTCTGTTCTGGGAGTGTTTCACTGCTCATCTTCCCCAAACTTGCCTCTAAATTCTACATTAAATTACTCCCTTTAACTGCGAACTAAAGCATCTGTAGGCACTTCAACAAAGGATGACGATGGCTTTTATAATTGCAGTACCTGACACACTGTACCTCTGAGACATACTTCCTCACTTTCCTCAGTTTCAGGGAGCTAAATATTGATATCTATTAATTATGTGTTGTTAATTTCTGTGGTAGGGTTTTTTTTTTGTTTGGTTGTTTTTTTACTTTCTGATAAGTAACTGTTCTGATAATTAGAGTGTTTTGAGGCTCTTTTAAACATACCCTTCCTTTGTTAAATGTGTGTATTGCGTTTTGTTTCTCTTAATGTCTCTCAGGGCAAATTTTAGTTAGGATTGTTTAGTTGAAGTTTTTACGTTGTTAGTAAGAACAAGAAGCACATCACGAAGTGGAGTGATAGAATTTGTAGCATATGGTGGGCTTTGCTATTGTCTTGAATTAAAACCCACAGACTTACATGCTTGCCCATTAGCAGCGATACTTCCTTGCTTTGCAAAATAGTTTAATGGAGTTCAGGCAGACTTGTGTAGGACAGTGTAAAATAAAGAACCCTGATCCCCCAAGAAGGGATGGAAGAATTTAACTGAATGCTCATAAAAAGCTAAACTTGATCTTACTCATCTTTACTCACGATGGCTTACTGAACACCTGACATGAGTAAGGAAGCCTTAATTTTGCTTTCAGTTGGTAAATGTTGTCAGGTTTTACTCATTCTTGATAAATGAAACATAAGGGTTTGGGTGAGATTTTAAAAATTCTAACACAGAGGTGACCATAAAGGTGTTGGCAAAAGAAGATACTTCTATAGCTTCCATATCAAGTATCTTCCATCTCAAGATCTTTAGTTGCAAGAGAACTGTTAGGTTTTCTACATTTTTCTCTCCCCCCCCCCCCCCTTTATTTTCCTGGGGATGTAAGTTTCTATTTGCAGGTTTTGAACATGAAAGTTGTTCTTAATGTGTGATGGTGCAAACTTAGATGCTTTAAAAAACCCTGAGTGGTATGTATGTGTGATGACTGACATACCATTTTGGCGTGTTGTGTTTATTTTTCTGGTGTATGTAAGAATATCCAAGGGCAGGGTAGTAAAGTGATCCAGGAGGCACGCGGTATTTAACATAAGTATCTCTCCATGATTACAAAGAGAAGTGATGGAGAGGGTAGCAGGTGTTACGAAGAAGAGACGTGGAGAGAGCTGGCTTCAACCAATATCCTACCCAACTTCTCATCTGTACTAGAGATCTTCAGGTTTTAATTCTCAAAGAGTTGTTGTAAGGGGATTTATTACCTTCCTGTCTCTTCATCTGTTTTTTCCTCCTGGCTAACATGAGAGCCTTGAAGGGAGGTGGCATTATTGCAGCTCCAGGAGTGCTTGAGAGGTAGCATCTGCACATGCTAGAAATGAAAACAAAAGACAATGCAGCACCACTACAAATGAGGTCTTGCCATCTGTGTTATACCTTCTTAAGTAAGGTTTAGATGATGTAATTTGGGAAGATCACACTGGAGCAGATAATCAGGTGTAATCTTTTGCAGCAGATGCTGAAATGGCTCACTTTTTGCATTAGCTTTTAATTTTTTGTCAGAGGGGGTGTGCTTGGGGGAATAAACCAGTGTGTTCCTGTGGTGTGTGTTGCAGATCGCACTGAGAAGCATTCCACAATGCCAGACTCACCTGTGGATGTGAAGACACAATCCAGGCTGACGCCTCCAGCCATGCCACCTCCTCCCACAACCCAAGGAGCTCCAAGAACCAGTTCATTCACGCCCACAACGTGTAATTAGACTTATTTTCTTCCTTTTCTTTCATACTCTTTCTATTCTCTCTATAAGGAAGCAAAATATGTGAAGGGAAATGTGCATGATATGGTGGGAGCAGCATTTAGTTATATTAATTACAATAAAGTAATTAAGCAAATCTAAGATTGCAACAGGTTAGTGCATCTTTAAGTTATTAAAATATTCAGCTCAAGAGTTGTGTTATTTCGTTGATAACTTGGCCACAGAGTTAAAGAACAGTGAGCAATGCTTTCCCATGTAGTTAATGCTCAGATCAGTCCTTCTGTGAGAAGTACAGAAACCCTTCTTTTTTATGCCATTCTGTTGTTTAAAGGACCCTTTTCCCTTCTGTAGAGAAACTTTGGGGGGTGGGGTTGCTTATGTTTTTAAAGTGGAGGATAATGAAAAAAACAAACTTCATCCCACTTATGATTGAAGAATTCTGATTTAAATGCTATGTAATGTCTAGTTAATATTGATATAACCCCCAAAATAAAAGCTTTTTATTGTTTTATCTAGAGATTTTTAACCTGTGACCACTTGGGGCTGCATCTCTGTCTCAGTTTATTGATGTAAACATACAAGAAACTCAAGTAGTCTTGACGGAATTACTCTGCATTCGTATCAGTGTAACTGAGATCTGAATCTGGCATGTTGTCTGGACTATTCTTTTCACAGCCATGAAATGATCCACATTTCTCTTACCAAGATTTAGCTGCAAATTTTTTGGTTTCTTTTATACTGCCTTGTAATAGTATAAACATGAGAATGTGTTTACATTTCACATTTTAAATAAAACATTTTTAGAACCGTAGAATACATATGCCTAAACAGAATGAAGGCAGCATCTTCTATTTGTCTTGCCTATGTCTGTTTAGTCCTTTTCTGTCTGCTAAATGCCTTATTTAAAATTCACCTCTATGCAGAAGTCCAGCTGGAGGCTCTTGTACTACTTCTCCCAGGGAACCCTGTCCTAACGATTTACATCCAACTTAAATACTGAGGAGGATTTGTGCCAGCTATTTGTGTAAACTCAAATTTAACCCAGTGACCCTGATCCTGCATAGATTTGGCTGTTTTGCTTAGCCTCCAGCACCTGAATCATCCTAGGAGCTGCTCTGGTCTAAAGTTAAATTGTTTCTAGGTTTTTGCATGGTGGGTTTCTTAGAGAGAGCTTTCAAATGTGATGCACTTTGCATCAAGGTTCAGGGTTATCTTTGGCAGTCATGAAAGGAATAGGGCAGTGTTCTTCTTTAATCACTTTTATAATCCTCAATGTAACTCACAAGATTTCTGGATGTTTATGATTGGGTTCTGCACTTTGGAAAGGCGTGTGAACCATAGCTGGATTTTTGGGGCTGTTTATATAAAGACTATCTAAAAAAGTCTAGTTTTAATTGCCTTTTTTTTACCCTGTCAGATTTTGGAGTTTGTCTTTAGTGGTTACAGCTTGTACAGTAAATAGTACTTCTGTTGGAGTGTCTGTTACATTTATTATTGCGACAGTGGGAATGCCTGTAGGCCAGGAAGATCATACTTGTTTTCTGGTCCAGAATATGCTTATTTTCTTTGATTTAGACTATTAAAAACTCTTGACATATTCTAGTTTGAAATTTTAAATGCTAAATTCTGTTTTATTAATGATGTGGTTTTGTTTGAGAAATTATGTAGATCTTTGGCAGTTGGCAAGTTCAGACGTTACAAAGAAGGAGAGAAAATTACTAATATGTAGTGGGCTATTAAAAAAAAAAATTCTAGAGAAGCAGCATTTGGGGAATATTTCTTTATTTCTTTTGTTGTGGGAGAAATTTTACCTTCCTTTCTCCTCTTCATATCCATCCAAGGTAACGAACTCTCCTGTTCTGTGCTTTTTTGATTGCACCCCCAGACTCTCTGCTGAGAGCAGCCCCTTACCAGTGGCTGAGTTGTTGGGTGCTGTCAGGCTAGAGGACACAGTCTTATTCTTCCCAGTCCTCATTTACTAAGCTCATGATATGATGACTTTGGGCTGTGCAGGTTCCTTGCAGTCACAATGTATTTGTTTACTCAGATACCTCACTGTACGGCAGTGCTTGGAGCTACACGTGGAGCTGAACTTGCTGAGACCAGCTTCTTTCTAGTTTTTCTACTTCTTGTTCTCCCTAGCCCATGCAGCTAGAATAGGTAACCAAAAACTAGGTTAAAACACAAGCAGAAACTAGATATCTATAGAAATAGATAGCTTTTCCTGTGGTGCTTCAGAAGGGCACTTCAGTCATTAGGACAAAAGCTCCTTCAAAAGTATTGCAGTAGTGGTTTAAATTGGGTAATAGGGTAGTGATCTAAATCTAGTAATAGGTGTGCACCCTCAAAAGGGACTTGCTGTCTAACAATAAAGATGACTGATAAAGAAAGTGACAAAAATTGGGATGTGTGGCTTCAGAGCGGCTGGTCATTAAGCAACATTGAAAGTTCTTTAAGTTGCTAGCTCGCCATGGTTATGCTTTTAAATAGGAAGCAACTTAGGCTTACTCCTATGCATTTTTTATAGTAGACAAATTCCTGATTTTTAATGTCTTTCTGGGATGGGTTCTGAGTGAGTTCTCAAAAAGAAATTGGCAGATTTCTCTAGGGCAGTGGCTGCTGAGCATGGTGCTGGTTGCTACTGGGTGCAGTCGTGTGCTGTGTGCCCATTGCTGTCATTTTGGCGAGTCAGACTCAAACAACAGCTCAACAGTTTGTTTGGCTGTTGCTATTCCAAGTAGCCTGGGTGGAAAAGGATGTCCTCAGTTTGATTCTCTGCTCTCTTCTGGAGTGTGGATGAGAATCAAACTGAAATGGCTGCCAAAAACTGTCTGTTGTCTTCAGTATGTCTGCATGAATCTCATTGCCATAAATTTTGAACATTTAGTACTTCAAACAGTTGTTCTCACAGCAACCTTGCAACAGGAGGGGAATGCTTTCTTATCCTTTTAGAGGTACAGTATTGGCACATGAAAACAGTGATTTGCTCATGGTCTTCGAGAAGTCTTCAGAAGTCTAGTTTCATGCTCTAGCTGCGAGGCTTCAGGCCACAGTGAGCATGGCACCATTTGTACCTGCACAAACAACTTTGTGTGCTCCATATGTTAGCAGCTAGGAAATCTGTATCTGAAAAAAATAACCTTCTCATTGGGTGGTGTAAGGTTAAAACGTGAAAGTCCTGTTTTATAAACACAGCTGTCAGTTGTGTGTACGAAACACAAGTAAAAATATTCAGAGATAAACTGAGGCTTCATGAAATATGTCTGCACATTTTTTTCTACCCCAAGGAGGAATTTTTTTGTCTTCAGTCATACATGCTCTCATGCTCTTTCCATTTCCTTCCTTCTCTTTTTAAAACCCTCTGAAAAAAGGGTGGCATCCAAATGATGCTTTCCAGGTGCAGGAGCATTTTGATGGGGGTGTGTGAGCGGCAGCTGCTTTTACTTCCAATCCATATATGGTTCAGTACCAGCTACTGGGAAAGAAATAGAAACTGCAGAGTGTTGCTCTGTCAAAAGGCTAATTATCTTTGATTGTTCAACTTAATTAATTTTGAGGACAAGCACGGAAAACATAAGCTGATGGATTTCCCTCTCTGTCTTTCTCTCTTTTCTCACACCCCTCTCTATTTTGTCCTCCCTTTTCTTTTTCTTTCAGTAACCAATGGCACTAGCCATTCACCAACAGCGTTAAATGGAGCTCCATCTCCTCCTAATGGCTTTAGCAATGGGCCATCCTCTTCTTCTTCCTCTTCTCTGGCTAACCAGCAGTTACCGCCAGCTTGTGGAGCTAGGCAACTCAGCAAACTGAAGAGATTTCTTACAACCTTACAGCAGTTTGGCAATGACATTTCACCAGAGATTGGGGAGAGAGTGCGTACCCTTGTGCTAGGACTTGTGGTAAGCAAACAACTAATGATACACTAATTGTGATATTTTTCTCTCCTTTTCCCTCTCTATGCTTGGCATGTTTATTACATGAAAGAGTGGGTCATAAACGCTGCATATATCATACCAAACGTGAGAACGAAGCACTGGCTCTTGCTGCTGGAGCTAACTTGTAACTTGTCTATCTTCCCATAAGTGACAGTTATTCCCAGTCAGATATAGACTTGACTTTTTTTGCCAGTATATATTCTGTTGTAATGGTGCGAAAGGGTTTTCATTCTATACTGGCAACACCCCTAATATAGACATCCCTGAAATATATAATGTAGTAAAATATGGTTTGGCTTGCCTTCCTAGTTGGCTGTGAAAAGGAGAGTGCCCTACATATATAGTGGTAGAATACTGGTTAAAAAGATGAATAAGCCTAATATATGTCTGGACTGTGGTTACACAGTGGAAAACCTTTTCTCAGTATTCATTGAACCCAACAAGGAGGGACCTGGTGGTGCTTACTGCTACTTAAGTCACCCTATCTAAAAGGTTACCTCTACGTGATTGTACGGCTGAATGAAAATTTCAGCTTTTTCTTACCCACTCTGTCAAGTTGGGCTGCTGTTTTACAGGCAAATTGTTGTGAATCTGGCCCAGGATTCTTTTTTTTCCCAGAAAAGTCCTCTCTCCGCCAGATGTTGCTGTCTCTCATGTATCTCGTCCAGCAGTAATTGGACATACCAGGAAAAATGCTGTTGTGGTGCTCTAATTTACGTATGTTCTGAGCAACTGCAGTTGCCACTGACTTAATTTGAAGCAAAGACTGCCAGTGCTGTTGAGTACTAGGGCTCAGGCGTTCTCCACTTGTATCTTCACAAAACCTATGTGGCAGCAGTGGGTACCCCTTCATTTGAGTCGGTGTCAAAAGGTTTAATGTAGGCAGTGTAACTTCAGTAAGTCCTACTCTTCATTTGTTTTCATACCCAAAATGCCTTTTTTATGTGGTTTGGCTTTTCACATGGTTCTCTGTGGAAAGGGGAACTAGTAAAGAAACTAATGGTGGCTTTAGGAGATCTATTTGCCCTTGATTTTCAGATCAAAAGTGCTTGCCCACTGTTAATTACAGTTGATTTCTACTTTCATCTGAGCTCTGAGGAGCAAATTGGCATCTTTTCCTTGGGAATGTCCACATATCATGTTATTCCCTTGGTCAACCCTATGAAGCATGTGGTCTTCATGGTTATGCCCTCAGCTTCAAAGTAATAACTTTCCTATGTAGCCTAGAACATTATAAATGATCCTCTTCGTAAGTACAAGAGGCAAAGTGCAGTTTTCCTCCTCAAAAAATAAGTGTGATTTTTTCATGTGTGCATGCTAATTACCACTTCTGCACTGGGAACAAAATTACAAGAGGCTTCAATAGGAAATAAAAAAAATTGTTGGGAAAAGCAGCTTTAACTGATGTTTGAAATGTAAAAGCATTTCCATGCCTAGCACCTGAGAGCTTAAACTACTCTAAGCAACAGGCGCTGAATGGCTGAAATGCTGGTGATTTCCTTTGAGTATTTTAATAAGGTAATAATTTAATATGTGGCATGCTTTTCTTTATCCTCTTATCAGTATCAAGAATGAGTTATTAAGCAGTTTGAGAGTGCTTTGGTTACTGTTTCTCTTGCTAAGTGTTTTCATTATTTTGTCACCAAGACAGAATTTTTTTTCTCAACAGAATTCTACTTTGACAATTGAAGAATTTCATTCCAAACTGCAAGAAGCTACTAACTTCCCACTGCGACCTTTTGTCATCCCATTTTTAAAGGTATTGCACAGTTCAGTGATCTGGAAAATATTTCAAACCATTTTGTTGCTAGGTCACAGATGTGTGTTACAGTTTTTCTTTTTAAGAGAGTCAGGAAAATGAATAACGTTTACGGGTTCCTTTCCATAGCTTTGTGCATGGAACTGCGTTTGAGTGTATGGTTGGGACCATTTTTGGTACAGGACCTGTCGGTTCCCTAATTCTATAATCACTGTTGTTTGTTTTATATTTTTAGTTTGTAGGTATAGCAGCTTTTACAAACTAAGTCTTGAGACTTGGTTATAAATATAATAATTTCATGTGCTTGCAAAAAGCTAGAGTTTTGCAAACTTTGTGTGATTCAGACTAAGGGGATGTCAGGAATTCCTGCTACCAGCCCTTTTTTAAGGTGCTGCTGATCATTATTAGTACACAATGAGATTGTGACACTCTGCCATGCAAGGAGAAGACAAGTATTTCTTTAGATTCCAGCCATCAGTACAAATGTGGTGTCTTAAGGAGGCTGGTGACTCTGTCCATGTGTTTTATGCTTATGCACCTATTATTAGAAATTAAAGTCTCATTAAAAAACAAAAAATGCAACACATGATGTGCAAAATAGGAATCAGGGAAGCAAAATCTTCTCTGAAGTCAGGAAGTTATTCTGTCTCTCACCTGTCAGTAACTACCTCCTCTGAACTGCCATGACCTTTGAACAGTCAATGTTGCTTTCTCAGAGGATGTTGTATTCTGTTATGGTTGTGCTGTGGAGATGAATTTTCTAGAGATAAGGTATTTATTACTCCCATATTTTTTTTTCCACTGTCAGTGTGTCAGTGGATGTTTTGCATGATTTTAGTCAGTGTGTTTTAATTGTTCCTAGCTCTTCTGTCGTCCTGAAGTACTAGTATCCTCAATGGGTTTGCTTTCATGCTTTTTGCCTTCTTGGTTGGCTGTGTCAGATGGGTTCTATGCAGATAGCATAGCTGCTACCTTGGTACATTGCCAGATGTTTTCTTTTCAAAATTGAGTATGCTCTTCCACTTGCAGTTGTACCAGCTCTGATATTCCTGCTTAAATCATTCTCGTTTATTTTCATGGCATCTAGTTTGTTTTCCTTTTAAAAGCCACTTCAGAATTAATTGGCTTTGGTGCCAGGAGCTTGTTAGAAGCTGGCACTGAAGAGTTTTATCATTCAGCCTGCAAGCTTCTGACCCAGGGAGTGCTGTGTGGTATGGACTCACATTTTCACCTTTCTAAATATGGGTCCCATAAATCTGACATGGGAGGGGGCAGGCTGCATATCAAGTTGTTATTTGTTCTGGGTCTTTTTTTTCATTTCTTCCAGCCCATTTGACAATACACAGTGAGAGTATGACAGAGTGTTTCGAACTGATTTATTTATCTGGAGGGTGCTCTAAATGTGGAAGCCACCCCTCTTAATTCTCTGCATAGCACTGAAATCCTTCTAAGGGTATAATTAGATCTGATATTTTGCAAGGGGCTGGGTATGGTTTTCTGCATAAGTGATAGTCTTTTCCATATTTATTTGGGAACTAGAGATGTTTCAGACTAGGCCTTACCTACTTAAGGGAGCTGAAAAGTTCTGAAATACAAAGATGAAGAGAGTGTTGTTTTCTTCTGTTCACACCTGCAGGCTCAATGGGAAAGGATGGGGAAAGTG